TTGATAGAGAAATACTATAGCCCTGTCTAAGACTCCAGTCATAATAGTCCAAGACTATGGCCGTATTGATAGAGAAATACTATAGGCCTGTCTAAGACTCCAGTCATAATAGTCCAAGACTATGGCCGTATTGATAGAGAAATACTATAGCCCTGTCTAAGACTCCAGTCATAATAGTCCAAGACTATGGCGTATTGATAGAGAAATACTATAGGCCTGTCTAAGACTCCAGTCATAATAGTCCAAGACTATGGCCGTATTGATAGAGAAATACTATAGCCCTGTCTAAGACTCCAGTCATAATAGTCCAAGACTATGGCGTATTGATAGAGAAATACTATAGCCCTGTCTAAGACTCCAGTCATAATAGTCCAAGACTATGGCCGTATTGATAGAGAAATACTATAGGCCTGTCTAAGACTCCAGTCATAATAGTCCAAGACTATGGCCGTATTGATAGAGAAATACTATAGCCCTGTTTAAGACTCCAGTCATAATAGTCCAAGACTATAGTCCAAGACTATGGCCGTATTGATAGAGAAATACTATAGCCCTGTCTAAGACTCCAGTCATAATAGTCCAAGACTATGGCCGTATTGATAGAGAAATACTATAGGCCTGTCTAAGACTCCAGTCATAATAGTCCAAGACTATGGCGTATTGATAGAGAAATACTATAGGCCTGTCTAAGACTCCAGTCATAATAGTCCAATTAACAAGCTTTCGTTGGTAGGGATGCAACCACCTGGAAAATATAAGGAGAATGTTGACGTTACGAGCGAAGGCTCTTCGTCTGGAGTTACAGGGCGCTATAGGGAGTTACGAGTCACTAGTATCTCCATATGAATGGGCTTCGCTGGTAACGTCGAAATTCTCCTTATATTTTCCAGATAGTTGTATCCCTACCAACGAAAGCGTGTTAATATTATTGCCACTACCTACACTGGCACAGACAGTTCAATAGTGGTCCAAGACTATCGCCATACTAGACTATGGGCATAGTCATGGTCATGGTCAATAGTCAATAGTCAGTAGTCAATAGTCAATAGTCAATAGTCATAGTCATAGTCATAAAGTCTAAGATTATAGTCAGAATGTTTCTCACGCAGGTGAAGAGAAGAAATTGGTTGAGGAGGTTTTCAATAACGCCATAGATTGTTTGTCAGACGACGACAAGAAGTTACCTCAGGTATGACATCCCGATGTGTAGCAGGAGCTTACATGTCATTCATTTGGGCTGAACTATGCGCATGATTATAGCTATAGAGGTGATTATAGAGAATGACGTAAATTATGTAATACTTCAAATCTAAAAATGTGGATTGGATTTCAAATCCAGGCAGTGAGTTCCGCAAACTCAACAGCTGTTGCGTTTGGAGGTAAAGGCTTGCGAGGTGGTGAATTCCACTCTGAGGTGATGACTGAAACATACTGGAGTTTGATACAGTCTCATTTACTTCATTTTTGCAATACGACTTTTTCAAACCTCATTCAGTCGAGTAAAGCATAGCAGCCAATTCTGTGAAGCAAATCTCTAACTGAAACATTAGTGAAGATCCATGCCGATGATTATCGTATTGTAAATCAAACCAGCCAATCAAATGCTCAGTTTACAATAGGGATGATATTTTTTATAATCGGCTATTTGCCGATATTCGCAATTTTTTCGTTTTTTTAAGAAAAATAACTCTATAATCTAGTAATCTACACTCCGTGTTGTTTTTGACACTTTCGTTGCGCGTATTTAATCCCATATCCATTAATTAATTTGACTCGTACAGTGACCGATAACTGTCCAATGTGAGTAAATATTTTCCGGAACACACTAAAACTAGTACGTCAATTTGTGGCGTATACACAAGTATTAAAAGTTGTCAAAAAACCGTTATCCGGCAGAAATATCGGATTTATTATTTTTTTATATCGGCTTCGATATATCGGATCGGCGAATCGTTTTTTTTTCTGGTGTCGGCTCATCCCTAGTTTACAAACCTGTTTGTGAATTTCATTATGAACTTTTGAACTTGGCAACGAATTTGCGAAGTGCGGAACGAAGTTCACAACATTTTAGTGAAAAGTAAGTTGAAATCAACTGTAAGGGTTTATTATCTCGAAGTGCGCACTCGGATTCAATTCAAGAAAGATCAGAGAATTTAGGGATGGACCATTCGATATCTGGGGGAAATTTTTATTGCATTTTTTTTAAGTTCGGTGCTCTGTCGAACTTTTTTTACGGTGTAAAAGCTGTGCAGGAATTTCTATACATGTCTGTATATATTTCTGTGCCTAAATGCTTGCATGAGTTTTTTGGGGGATGTGCCACCCCCTGTCAGTGTATCTAATGGTCCACCCCTTGCTTTGCCAAATTCTTCAAGTAAATACAGAGTGTAGATTAATGAGTGAGATCAAACATCTGGCTTATTAAACGATGAGGTAGACAAATAGGAAAGCAGACAATGTTTTTGAAAACGACGAAATTTGTCAATATTCCAGTGACGTGCTCTGACAAATATTCTTTAATACAACGTTGGTGAAAGAATTGCCTATTAAGGCGATTACCTCAATATCTGCGATTACATGTTTTTAAAAAACTATATTCATTCCAGGTTGAACATGTCTTACCATTATTGAAACGTGGTATTGGTATCCATCACTCAGGATTGCTTCCTATTTTAAAAGAAACCATTGAAATTCTATTTTCTGAAGGTTTAATAAAGGTAAGTCGCACACTATCAGAACGACAGAAGAAGACCACCTTATATGCGTGTTCTATGAAGTTCTAAATTATTAATTGTGTTTATGTTAGGCGTTATTTGCAACGGAGACATTCGCCCTTGGTTTGAACATGCCTGCAAGAACCGTTGTGTTTACAAATCCACGAAAATTTGACGGCAGAGATTTCAGATGGGTGAGTAGCACAGAAAGTAGTTATTGATTGCATTGTCTACATACTCCGTGTCGTTAAGGTGTTTAGGTGCTTGCTCAATATGTCGGCTTCTCGCAGGGAATTGGATGGGAAGGAGGAATGGGAATGACCAGGGAATCGATGGGGAATGACAAGTAGTTGTAGTCGGTCAGCACTGGATTCTAATTTGTGCCTATATATAGTCCTCATGGACCGCGTAGTGATTCATGTTTTTCAAATTTTGAAAATTACAAGCCCGGAAAGTGCATTTCCAGCTATTTACCACAATAAAATTTTGTTTAAAATAACCATGTGTATGTTGGATGATGATAGGCAGATATATTTCTGTGAAGCAAATCTCTAACTGAAACATTAGTGAAGATTCATGCCGATGATTATCGTATTGTAAAATAACAATTACACAAATATGTAACGGTCAAGTCGCAGAATAAGGCACACAGAAGGTCGACTCGAGTAACCGCTGCCACGCCATGATTCATCATCAAAATGCTGACGCCACTGGCTAGGACCATGGCGTCAGCATTTTTACGGTCACGCCAAAATCATTGGAAAATCATAGGGAAAACCAAGAAGTCGGGCTTCTGTGTACCAACATATTAACAAGAAACAGCATATTATTTTGTTTAGTATTTATATTTAAGGTAGTGATGGAGTAAAGCATGCAAAGCAATATACAGCAACAAATTTCATAATACTAATAATAAAAGGCCAGTAAGTGATAGACTGGAAATCTTTGCAATTAGACATGAATTATTAATCTTGAAAAAAGTCCATTTGTGCGGACTCCAAGCCCTAGTTACCACAACACGCTGGCAGACTTGGGAACAATGTTTGTAACTTCTGGGAGCGTAATAAACAGCGATTTAACGCTCGTGGCGTCTTGGCTTTCAGCGATGCATGGTCGTTTCTGCAACGTATCCTCATCGGGAATATCGATGATCACGCTTCCACACGAGGATTTCGGGCTGGCAGTAAACTCATTGCCAGAGCTTTGGTGGAATTGTGGTTTCTTCTTGCAGCAGAAACGTCTGCAAAGCCAGAAGTCGAAAAACATTTTGTATGAGGTTCGAATGCGAATGCGAAGATATGTTAAGGAGTTAGACGTATTGAGAAGAAATTCAAGAAAGAAAGAATGGTAAAATTAAGGAGTTGTAGATAGATTGAAGGCACGAAGACAGGGAGGAAGATGTAGATGATGGAAGGAGGGAAGAAAGAGTAGACATGCAGATAAAAAGAATGAGGGAGTATGAAAGGAAGAAAGAAAGGAAAGAATGATTAATATTTACGTTACCTCATTACACTGTATATCACAGCACTAATTATAACAGTGGCAACAACACCAATCGCCACGCCAATCATCATACCCTTGTTAAAACAGGGCTTATTGAAATCTTCAAAAAATTTAATGAAGCCAAATGCCTTTTCTGAAATAAAAAACAAGAAGATTACACGAATACAAAACCTTATTGGAACGAGAGGCTTTCGCAATGAAGTAGTTATAGTGTTGTTTTGTTACCTGGGCAACGGTAGAATGGACATCCGTCTGCTTCACTGCTGTTATTGGTGGAATTCTTCTGTTGAGCTAGGAAACAAAATAAATATGTGATAACATTATGATGGAGTTGTTATTGTCGTTTTTCTTGCCAGCAACTCGTCGTCGTCGCCGCCGTTGTTGTATCAGTTGGTATTATCACTGTTGTTGTTGTTGTTGTTGTTGTTGTTGTTGTTGTTGTTGTTGTCGCTGTCGTTGTCGCTGTCGTTGTCGTTGTTGTTGTTGTTTTCTCATTATCCTTCGTTGTCTTTTGCTTACCATAAGCCCTAAACGTAGGCGGGTCAATAAAAATCGCCGCCGATTTATTTTTGTTGTCTTTAAACATGAGGAGAATCTCCCATGTGTACGACTGGTCTAGGCGCTAAAGGACGGCCACTCCTTTCGTAATGCCTTCTTCACTATTGTCAGACTCGTTCAACGCACGTGATCGCATGGCAGGTGTCCACTTTCCGTTTCTGGGAAATTTAGCGCCGATGTAGTTCACTTTGCGCGCAAACACATGATACGGTTCAGTTTGCTCTTCTGTTTGCCATTGAACTCGGGCCACGTTCCTGCCCGACCAAGTCGCATTGATATGCAGAGAATTGTGTGCTATATAAAAAAAATAATTATTTATACTCTGATGGTTGACAAGACAAATTCCAAAGCGATGCAGGATAAATTTTGCATGCGCGTGGATGAGTTCAGCACTCGCGCAATTAGAAAGCATCACAATTAAATTAATGAGCCCTTAATTTTTAGCCAACTGCAGCTGATACAACTATACTCTACTGAAATTTAACAAAGTAATTTTAAATATGCATCCATTTTTATAAAAACAACTGTTTTCTATTCCTGCCAAAACGCAACTATAAAAAACTGATTTGCTTTATTGCATAAGCAAAATTAATAAGCAAAAGTATATTTTACACGTTCGCAAAATGAATAAACGCGGTATTTTTCAGTCGCAAAAAGGAACATTAATACAAACGTTTTTAAAGTTGAATAAGAACAGTTTGCAAATGTGGAACTGTTCCTTCCAGAAAATAATATAAAAAAGACAACTCTAAATCTTACCTCTAAACTGGCACTTCTCGCCATAGAATGCGTCCTGGCGAACACATTTCACACCCTCAGGTGCTAACATGCGCACAGCCCGAGGTGGGCAAACACTTTCAGCCTCGCAGTTGCAAGAGAAAACACACATACCAAAAACAATCGCGAGGAAAATGCGGAGTAAAAATCCGCACGACTTCATCGCTCAATCGCTTAATTAGCTTTGATATAATTCGCTGTGTTCGTCATAATTGGACGGTTGCCTACAAGCCTCCCTCACCCCAGTTCACCTGGAAGCAATGCGCTACATTTTACAATCACGGCCAGTTGTCTTATCCCCAATATTTGTATCCATAGTCCTTGCAGTTTGCATGTAACTGGCATAGTCATGCAAATACTGCCAGTTCTATTAAAAACAAAATGATCTCCAAGATTTTTTATGTTTATTTTCTTGTAACGAAAACAATAATAATAATAACAGGAGCAAAAGTAAGATTAATGGAACAAACATTATTTGGAAACTCGGTGACTATTATTGTTTGGTCGGGTTTATGGGAGACAATTATCTTGGGTTGTGATATTTACTTATTTATTTCTGTAGATAACGTCAGGTGAATATATTCAAATGTCTGGTCGAGCAGGACGTCGAGGTCTGGATGATCGTGGTATTGTTATTCTTATTATTGATGAAAAAATGGGCGCAGACGTTGGCAAGGGATTGCTCAGAGTAAGTTCAAGCCTGTTTCTATTTCAGCGAACAACTCATTTTCTCCGATATGATATATATAAGTCAGGTTCTCTTTCATCTTTTGTTAGTTGTCTATGCTTATGGGGATCTATTAGACTAGTAAACTTGAAATCCACCTGACCGCACGACCAAAAACATACCAGGCAAACTATGATCCATGGATTGAAGGTCGTGAAGTTTTGGATTTACAAGTTGTGGATCTACACGTGAAGCTATAGTTCATAGTCTTAGACTAAAGAATTCTTAAACTGTAGTCTCTTATTAAAGCTTTTAGTTGTGTTTAGCCCAACTAAATTAACTTATTTTCCTATTAGCTCTAATCCGTTCTTGCTAGGTGTCCAGTAATGTTCATCTCATCATGTTACTACAATAGGACACCCGAGTGCCTAGACAGACAACATGTTGTGCTTGGTAGAGTAACTGCGTAAAAGTTAGAGAAAATCATAATCCGACAACAGTGTAGAGAGTCGAAGCCATGATCGCAGAGGTGGTATTTAGTGTTGGTTGTAAACCAACCCATATATCGTTGTTTAGGGAAGTGCAGATCCTCTGAACAGCGCATTTCGTCTCACTTACAATATGGTGTTAAACCTACTACGTGTCGAAGAAGTGAATCCTGAGATTATGTTAGAACGATCGTTTTACCAATATCAGAACTACGCCGCTATTCCTGAAATGGTCAAAAGTAAGTACATGATGCATATATTTTGTAAAAGACAGTTTTGACAGAAAACGAGACAGTCCATCAACTGCAGAACTCGGACATGGCCGATATCATAAATCGTATCAAGATAGGGCCCCGTTTACACGGTACCGGAGGAGTTTGGGAACAGGGCGATCAAGTTGTATTACAGTAACATTTCTTCCACTTTATGCCAGCGAAAGGCAATAAAGAATTGGCTTCTGATTTCAAAACAACTTGCAGAAACAAATTTTTCATTGAAACATTCAAGCAAGTTACTGGGATGTTGTCATACATGCTTATATGCGAGTAAAAGTGCAGGCTGATTTATACTTACATTCCTCTAAACATTGTTCATTCTTTATAAATACAAGGCAAACAAATGCACAATCAACACTGGAAGACCCCTCCAGTGGCGGAAATTCACTTTTTCCGGGGGGGGGGCAAAGCCTCCTAAATTTCCGCCAAAGTTTCAAATTTCCGACATACCCCCCATTTGCACTCGAAAAGACTGTTTTTAGCCCTCTTTTAGGTCAAAATTTCCGAAAATTCATCAATTTTCCGTCGGCCGCCCCCTCAAGATTTCCGCCACTGGACCCCTCCTGGAACATGCTAAACTATACACATAAATTCGTCTGTGTTCACGAATTACGCAGATAGTTTGTTTTAAGTGATGGTCCATCTGTTTGCTGTGTTTGGCAGATTGGCAGACAAACTATCTTTACTTTGCTAATCTTCGGCTAGACGAATGGGTGAGGTTATTGCCTACCAAGGTTGAGGTTATTTATACGAAGTGATTAAATAAAGTTTTCTGTTAATGTAATTTTCAAGAGTTGAAAGAGCTGGAAGCTGAACGAGATGCTGTCGTGATACCAAATGAGGAATCCATTGCATCATTCTATAAAATAAGACAACAATTGAAAAAACTTGGAGAAGATATGTTGGTAAGATATTTTACCTTGTATACTTTACCGTTGTATAAAGTTCGTCCAGACAAAATGGGTCATTTTCCGCCTATACCAAGTGATTAAAATGTTCAAACTGCATGTAATTTCACATAGTTAAAAAGTTTGTGCATAACTAGGGTTTGACTCGGCCATTGTTATGACGTCACTGTTCAAACTTCTCATCAAAGCCTGGGGCTGAGTTTATTGTCTACCTTTATTCTTCGGTGTATATATCTTTATTATATCGTGAATATTTTACGGAATAATATTGAATCAGTTAGCGTTATTCCTATATGTAGTACTCCAAGATAAAATATTTCATATATAACGGTGAAAATGTTGCAAATCACATTGATCAGAATCATCCTCAGATTTATAACTTCTTGTACGAATTTAGACATTGCTGAGAAATAGATCATTTTTTCTCTGCTCAACCCAGCAGCACATTTCGTGCCAACACGGAGTGATTGTAAAGTCAATTTAAGTGCAAGTCTTTATATAAGTGTTGATAATTTAAGAATTTAGATATTGGTTTATATGTTATCTTGAATGTTTCTTTTTTAGGGATTTATACATCAACCAAAACATTGTCTACCATTTATGCAACCAGGTCGTCTTGTCCATGTAAGTATACTTATTTCATTCTCAAGTCAACCAGGTTCTCTTGTTAAAATGAAGATGTAGGACTGCTACATTATTAATTACATAATATTTAACTTATAGTTTCGCTAAGTGTAGATGATGAATTTTTAGTTAATTTAAAAAAGTTTTGTTTGTAAAATCACTTGTACGTCATGTGTATCATGCACGCATGCTTGGTGGTATATAAAGTATTTCCTATAAGATATTCTCTGCGTTTTAGGTGAAGCACGAGGATATGGATTTTGACTGGGGAGTTGTCATTAATTTTCAGAAGAAAGCAAACCAGAAGGTAAGTTGATTTTGAAGAAATAACTGAGTGAAAATATAGGGATACAGCATGTGTAACCAAATTATCTTTACGGAGAATATGTCACCTTGGGCTGGTTGAGCTGGATTGGCGCTAACCTTGGGTTAAACATGCTGTTTCGGTTTGCATTTCTGCATGTTCATTTGTTTCGAAACTTTTTAAATAAAATTTCTATTGAATATCCAGACATGATTTCTGAAAAAAATTTCTCCAAGTTTATAAGCAAGCTGTTGGATAGATACAGTAGTTCGCAAGTTCTTCGTTAACCCAGGATTACATGTAACTACGTCAAGCGTTCCTCTTTTGAGTTTCTAAATTGATTGCAATTTTTCTCATTACCTTTGCAATTTAAAAAACTCCCTTGCAAATCCCTTGAGGGAATTTGCAATGTTGCTAAAAGCCGATAAAATTTTCCTCAGTTCCTGTTAGAAGTTCTTAACTTCCTCGTACAAGTTCCTAACTTCCCGTTCTGTTCTGCGCGTTGCAATAGACCTTTCCCCTTTTAAGTGAAATTTTGATCTACACAAGTCTGGACAGAAATTTCATCACAGCTTGAAAGAGCATCACAAAATTAGTAATATTCAGAAGTTCGTTGCGAAATGTTGTAAAATGCGGATAATATAGCCTTGCGAAGTTTGCCGTTTTTCAGTCATTTTGTATTACAAATGGGAAATTGATAATCAGTTTGATCATCTGATTATCAATTTCCCGTTTGTAATGCAAAATGACTGAAAAACGGAAAACTTCGCAAGGCTATATTATCCGCATTTTACAACATTTCGCAACGAAACTTCGGAATATTACTAATTTTGTGATGCTCTTTCAAGCTGTGATGAAATTTTTGTCCAGGCATATCTAGATCAAAATTTCACTTAAAAGGGGAAAGGTCTATTGGCTAATACAAATAATCCACCAATTACAACGCTCAAAACAGAACAGGAAGTGATTAAATTAAAACAGGAAGTAGATTAAGTTTCTTGCATTGGAATATTGCAACAGCCATAGGAACATTGCAAATTCCCTCAAGGCATTTTCAAAGAGTTTTTCAAACTTGCAAAGCTAATAAGGAAAATTCCAAATGAGTTAGGAAGTCAAAAGGGGAACGCTTCACGTAGTTTACCTGTAAGCTCACCGGCTTTCGAATAACTTCCCCCTGAAGTCCATAGAGCTTCGCTTGAATCGTGAATAAGACCTTGACTTTGGAGCCTTTTGACACGCACGTATTTGTAAAGTTTTACTTTATACACCTGTATCATTTTGTAAATTTCTCGCAATAACAAGATCAGGTCTCAAACACGAAAACGAAATTCTATATAGCCATGCAAGGTAAAATACTTTCTGGAAGAGTCGACCGATGTTCACACTGCGCGTAATATTTGCAAACGTTGCAAACCTTCCCTATCTTTTTCGTGAATTACATTTAGACCCCGTTCACACTGTACCGGATTCGCTGGTTACGACATCTTCGTTTGCTGCCCAGGAGCAACATTTAACAACAAAGGTTTACACTTTCGATAACGTCCGTACAACTGCTTGTTACTACCATTATAAATGTTTAGGCTATTTCATTGACTGTTAAAACTGATGCCGTGACCAGCGAATGCGGTACAGTGTAAACCTTGGCCTTACTTAGCTACGTTTATACAGCGCCATTAGTTGGTGCAACTTCAGATCCGCTTATGAAAAATATTTGAAACATACGTTGTAAACATCGTATGATATCATCATTACTTGAAATTTTTCATTATTAACAGAAGCTAAACCTGCAATCGATCTGACAAATTGCAGTGTAGAAATATACCTTTCATCATATTATCTTCAACAGGGTGTGTCTGAAGAATCATTGTACGTAATGGAAGTATTAGTGAACTGTTCATCAAAACCTACCAAGACAGCAACTGGAAGTATTCCCAATCCTTGTCCACCAGGAGAGAAAGGAGAGATGCAGGTCAGATATTCTGCCCCTTTTCCATTAATTTAGCGATACTGCTATACAATATTAGCTTATATTCTCTTAGGATTTTCAGAACATTGGATTTTGACACGAGAATGACTCATGCATACTACATTTTCTGTCGTTAATCATGTTATGTGTTTTTTTGCAGTTAGCGAAATTTATTTTAACAGAAGATGACTTTATTTCGAGTACAATTCAACAACGTGGGATATTCTTTTCATCAACTATGTATACTCTTTATTGAGTGATCGCAATATTCACATAGCTACAACAACCTACCTTTCAATTGTATGTGACAAATTAATCAGTTGTAATGCCTGATGTGAGATATTTTGTTCCTAGGTGATTCCAGTTCTTCTTCAGTTAGTTCAAGCTGTGAGCACTGTAAGATTATATATTCCTAAAGATCTCAGACCACTTGATGCCAGACAGAATGTTGGAAAGTCGATACAGGTTAATATACATTGTTTAATCCTTTCTTATTTTGCTTTCTATTCTACTTGTACCCTCCTCGTTTTGTTATCACAACAATACACAAGGAGAGCACGTCGTTGTAGACCCTTGTTTTCATGAAGCGAGGCTCGAAGCCAAGGGAAAATGTGTTTCTGAAAGAGTGTATTGGTCTATCTTTACGTAATTAAAATCAACATCGGTAGTTGTGATGCTTGTTATCCCCAGCAGGGATCACATCTGCAGGGCTTTCAGAACTGGCTGTGTTGAAAAAGTAGGCGGCTGTGGGACGGTCTAGAGAGTCTTAAAGTCATCCAAATTAACTAAGTGTATGTTGATTAGATAGCAACACAACTGAGTTCTGTACCAAATTATAATGTATCATTACTTTCATTCTTCAGCAAGATAACTTCAAGATTTAAGATGGCAAGTAACTAAATCAGTTTTAGAAAATAGTACGTCGTTTTCGAAAATAACATGCAGGCTATAAAGTAGACCAGGTTGAGGAAAAATAAGTTGAAAGCTTAGAGTGGAGGAAGGAGAGCATAATTAATACTAAACAAAGTAACCGACGGTAAACCTCGTGGCACTCGCCCGATCTGCATCTGTCAACTCGTCGTATATGTGTAATGGATATCCTGCGTTGTGTGAATACGTATATTATTTCCAAGTGTCTATCCAGATAGGTCAACGTTGGGTTGGATTAACAGTTGAAACTTTCAGAACTAATTAATGTTTCAGCAAGTGTCCCGACTCCATTTGGATACAATTACAAGCTACTTTTATCACAATGTATCCAATACGATTCCAAACCTCAATGGTCTTTTTATGACTATACAAAATAGCAATTAACAATGATTCATCGACATCTATAGCATGTCAGTGTTATACGCGAGTATTCTGTGTTAGATTTTGCACGAAAATAGGTTTTAAGACAGAAGCAAGCGATTTTTAATCCTTAAGTAGTGCAATGTTAAACTTAACTTAAACATAAAATCCCTGGTTATTCTTCACATTCTATTGGCGTATATAATCTAAAACATTTAATGTTTCTGGTAAATTCTAGGAAGTGAAGAAGAGATTTAAAGATGGTTTGCCATTGTTGGATCCTATTGATGATATGGGGATTAAAGATGAAGGATTAAAGTCGATTGTTAGGGTACTGCACCAGGATGTTGTAAATACATTATTCAGTACATTGGACACTGTATGTTTTAAGAACAGATATTGGGTGTTATTCGGTAGCGAAAAGATTGGCAAGGAACTGAAAGCAACGTTTACGTCATTGCACCCACACTCCAAGATTTTTACAACGATGCGTAGAGGAGAAAACTGTCAAGTCAGGAAAAAAGACAGTTCAGGAAAAAGTGCTACCCAGTGATCTCAGGGATGTCGCGAAGCCATCAACATTGGGGGGGGGGGGGGGGGGGGGTTTTGACCAACATTCCCTAGGATTTTAACCAAGTCGTACAAATTTTCCCAAAAATGTTGTCGACGGGGTGGGGGGGAGGTCAAAAAAAATTTCCAGACTAACATAAGCATAACAAAAGCTTTACAATTGTTAAAATTGCAAACCATTTCATAACTTTGGGCAACTTCGACCATCTTTTATCCCAAACTTTTACCAAATTTTTCCGAGTTTTACCTTCAATTTTAAGCAAATATCAGTTCCATTTTGACCAACTTTGACCAACGTTTGAATTATTGGGGGAGTTTTATAGCGACGTCCCTGAGTGATCTGAAAAAATACCATGCAGTAAAACTTTGACGTTTTGAACCTTTCGTCAGGAAGTTACTGGTCGTTGAGTCTCTCAATCCGCAGTTTTCTGTTGTTATTATCACTAGCTACGCTGATACAGACCATCAGAGTTTATATTCAGTAACCTACAAAATATAGTTACTTCTGCGTTTAAGCTCGTGATTCTGCGAAGTAGATTTTTTTTCAGAATTGTCTTGAAAACATTGTTTGCTCCTGCTTGTTATTATTGACATTATTTCATTTTCTTTCAGAAAATTGAAGCACTGGAACACAAAATGTACACACATCCTATGCAGAAAGATCCTGATCGTGACTCTCTTTATGAACTTTGTGAAAAGAAGTTTAAAGTAAGTATTGCGTTCATCCAGCTTGTCTTATAGGAATAGCTGTCACTTTGCCTTGTCAAGAGGCGAATGTATTAACTGTAATCTCGTTCTTGTAGTTCAATGATGATATAAAACTAGCGAAGAAAGAAATTAAGAAATGTAGAACGGTATTACAAATGGACGAACTGAAATGCAGGAAAAGAGTTTTACGACGGTAGGACATTACTTGTACAGAAAAATATTTTTTGTAAACTAAACTAAACTAAACTAAAATAAGCTTCTCCCTAGAGGTCCAGCAAGGCCAATTCTTATTGGTCAGTGCATGTTGCATGCCTCTATATAGGGAAACATAAGGGTCTAGTGAGGGGCCATCCCTTACTAGACCATTACGTTATGACATCCTTATGCCTGAGAAACACGTTAAATTCCATCGCAACGACAACCCATGGATAACCGAAAAATTGAAACAGCTGATCAAGTTTCGACAACGTGCGTTTTCATCTAATAACACTACTCTTTTCAAATTCTACCGAAATAAAGTGAATAGAATGAGAAAATCTTGCCGGGCAGACTATTTTGCTTCAAAAGTTGCTAATCTGAAAAAGTCTAACCCCAAATCTTGGTGGACAGAGGTTAAACGTATCTCCGGTATGAGACCTGTATCTGGCAGTTTGCTTAACCAACTTCATGTCGAAGATACAGAACATTTAACACACAAAGGTTTTGCAGATTTAATTAACAAAAGCCTAATAGAACCAATGAATACTTATGATCCCTTAAATGTTACAGATTTGAATACCTTGTTTGAGGAGATTCCTGATTATCCGTTAGATGTAAACATGAATTTGACAAATACTGCATCGGTCTTGAAAAAACTGAAAAGCTTGAACCCGCATAAAGCTCCGGGCCCTGATGATATCCCCAATTGGATTCTTCGTGATTATGCCGAAATCCTTGCTCCCTGTGTATCGGACTTATTGAATTCGTCCTACAAGCAAAAAAGACTGCCCTCATGCTGGAAACAAGCTAACATTACACCTATTCCGAAAGAGAAACCTGTTAAAGACATAAGCAAACAGCTCCGACCTATTTCGTTAACTCCGGTTCTGTCTAAACTTGCAGAAGAGTTTGTTGTTGAAAAATATATCGCTCCAGCAGTGTTGTCGTCAATTGATCCTTTTCAATTTGGTGGCATCCCTCGATCATCTGCTACAAAAGCCTTAATTTCTATGGTTCATGCGTGGACTCAAGCCACAGATGGAACTGGAAACGCTGTAAGAGTGGTTCTTTTCGACTATAAGAAGGCCTTCGACTTGATTGATCATAAGATCTTAGCCACGAAAATCATCCAATTGCCAATGCCAAATTTCATTAAGCGGTGGGTAATTGACTTTCTGATGAACAGGCAACAACGGGTGAAACTTGCAAGAGACTGTATGTCTGAATGGATTGACATTCCTTCCGGTGTCCCTCAAGGAACCAAATTGGGACCTTGGTTATTCATCCTAATGATAAATGACCTACGCCCCCCACATCATGAGCGATGGAAATACATCGATGATGCTACGGTATCTGAAATCATTTACATCAACACACCCAGTAAAATTCAAGATACAGTCGATTGTGTTCAAAATTGGTCTGTAGAAAACAAGATGCAATTAAATGCCTCCAAGTGCAAGGAACTTGTTATCAGTTTTACAAAACCTGAGAAAGAATTTCCGCGCCTTAAGATCATCTCAGGCCAAATCGAGACAGTGAACCACGCAAGAATCCTAGGTTTGACAATTTCTAAAGATCTAAAATGGAACCAACACATAACTAACCTAGTTAAGAAGGCGAACAAACGGATTTATTTTATTATTCAGTTGAAACGTGCTCATGTACCTGAAGCTGACATAATAAATTTTTACACTACCTGCGTCAGACCAGTCATGGAATTCAGCTGTCAAGTTTTCCACTTCGCCCTTCCTTCCTACTTATCCAATGCCCTGGAACGGGTTCAAAAGCGTGTTTTATCAATCATCTATCCACTGACAGGTTATGCGGATTGTTTACAAAAATCGGGCATCAAACCATTAAGTGACAGGCGTGTGGATGCATGCGAGAAACTGTTTAATGAAATCACCACAACACCAGTAGCTAATATGCATAATCATGTACCATCTAGATACTTTCCAAATTACGACCTTAGACACTCAAGGTCTTTTGTTGTTCCTCAGACCAAAACGAACAGATTTAGAAACAGTTTTTTCCCTTCATCTGCAAGGCATATCAATAATATTAACTGACAATCGATTCTGATATTCAGTTTTAGACTGGCTAACATTTTTTTAGAAATTTACTAGTTTCATAGCTAATTTGTAATGTAACTTTAAACTTCTGTAATATAGAATTATAAATTGTAATGTAATTTTAAACTTCTGTAAATATAGAATAACTAATTTAATCATTTCTCTTGTAAAATTTAGCACGCAATTCAGCCTCTTGGCTGCTATGTGTTAATCTTATTAAACAAACAATCTATCTAAACAAACAATCTATCTATCATATAGTTGCTGCTGGAGGAAGCATAAGAGTCTTCTTATCTAATCCAGTGTTATTGCAAGAAAGTATGCCAGAGTATCCGTAGAAAACCTGCGACGTTTGGGAGAGTAAACCTGGAAGCACTCTTGTCACATATGACTGAGACTGAATTGATAAGAGAACGACATTTAAATGAATTGAACCGCATGCATTGCTACTGTACCTATACATGCCATTGATGAAAGCTTCAAAATAGTGGCTGTGTACATTTCCTTCATCTATTTTATGTTTGATTTCAGACTTGGTTACTCAACAGCGGCGGATGTTATAGAACTCAAGGGAAGAGTGGCATGTGAAATAAGCAGGTAGGTTTGAGCATAGAATGATTTGGTTGCATGCTAATCAAGATTGAACATCACTGCATCTAGGGATGGATCCAGCATGATCTGCAAGCCTGCCAGCTCTGGTGCCGAGTTCTGTCGGTCATGTGTGCCGCCCGCTCATCAACTTGCTTCACTACTGCAAAGTCTTGCTTGACTACTGTATTTGAATTGTAATTGTTGTTCACAGTTCGCTTATCATCATGTTATTACTTAAATTACTGTATCTCATTTATTCTCTAATAAGTTTTTGCTTTATCATGAAAAATAGCACCCCCCTGCACTCCCTCTGGTCAGTGCTAGGGGGGCGCACCCCCCAGTAAATCCATCCCTGACTGCATCACGTGAATCCCCAGTTTTATCTAACAACTGTTCGATTTTGAACATTTTGAACATGATTTTAGATTCGGTGGTCGAATCTTGTTTCAACATAATTAGAAAAGATCGCGACACTAGAGCACATGCAGACATATTTATTTTAGTATTTTGCACGAATTACATAACCTATATCTTTTGACGTTTTGCGGAGAAACTTGAACCTAAACGACTTTTTGTGTGACCCATGTTAAAACTGTAAATTTTTAGCGATAATCTAAATGAAAGGAGATACAACTAAGTGTAATGCAGTGAAATATAATTTATACTGTATGACCATCTAACGTTCACTCGACTTACAGTATCAAACAGTGAATGAAAAAAAAATGTTAAATGCAAGATGCAAGCTCAACTCGGATCTCCAACCAGTGGCTTACTTTGTTAGAAACACAAAATTAATTCTTTCTCCTTTGAAATTGTAAGATATTTTAACAATGTCGCTGTTTTTTCTTCAGTGCTGATGAACTGGTGTTGACTGAAATGATCTTCAATGGTGTTTTTAATGATTTAACTGTGGAGCAATGTCCCGCGTTGTTGAGTTGTTTTGTTTTTCAAGAAAAGGTATAGTTATACTTTAAAATTTGATTGTCGCGGTGTTGACTTATAAAGCCGTTCGGACTTGGTTTTCTTCTACATCATTACGAGACGTTATTGTCTTATTTGTACGACTGCAGTTTTCTCTTGGATTTTCTCTTGTACACTGAGAGCACATTTTGTTAGATCGTTCCCTTAAGTTCTTTCCTGTGTTGAAAATAAGTTTGACAGGTTGTTTCACTGAACATTTCCCGAACCCTCCTCGAGAGAGCTGCTACCTTCTCGGTGCGTGAATCTCGAAAAAACCTTAAGGAATAAAGGAATAAATAGGAATATTAAGGAATAAATATCACTTCTTTTTTCAACAGAAAATTGAAAAAATATCGGATTGAAAACAATTAGTGCATGTACATGTCAATAGGAGCTTCAATTATAAACAACAAAACAAAAAACTTTTTGCCTTAAAATTTTTGAAAAAAACTTTGTTCTGAATAACAATGAGATGGCCTCTTAATACAAGTCTTTGACTTCCTGAGATCTTCTCGCCGCTCCCTTTGCTTTCAATTTGACATACATAAATATACCTAATTTTTATTACAATAATCAATGTAAATACTGAATGAAGTGGGAAGTGAATTGAATTGAAATTGAACGTGTTTGTAATTGATTGGTAATTCATTGTTTTTAGAGTTCAGAGATGCCAAAAATGATAGAAGAATTAGCAGGACCACTACGACAGCTGCAAGAAACAGCTCGAAGGATTGGCAAGGTTTCTCAAGAAGCCAAACTTGATGTCGATATTGAAGATTATGTTGAATCGTTTAAACCACAATTAATGGATGTTGTCTATTCTTGGAGTAAAGGTGCTACATTCTCACAAATTTGCAAAATGACCGACGTGTTTGAAGGTATGGGATAATGTTCATTTCATCATTCCTTTGAGTGATATATTTATTTTTGGTCAGTAGTAGTATGTGTGGTTTGAATTCCTCAATTCTATAGTCCGTTTTTAAGAATTTGTTAAATTGCTCCCATGCATAATAGACCTTATGCATAATGACGTCACAAGGCTTGATGTCCGCGAGGAATGCTGTTAAACAATTCAAAATGGCCACTATAGAAATTTTCCCGTGCTATGACTACTAAGACCAGCATTCCTCGCGGGCATCAAGCCTTGCTACGTCATTATGCATATATAAGGTCTATTAGTTTAATAGTTTTTCCCCATTTGTTAAAATTCGATTTTCGCAACTTTTTAATAATAGTGAGTGATTGATTCAACAGCGTAGACAAACAAACCGAAATTGACTTTCAAATTAATGCAAATGAACTATATTCTATTGTTAAGCCCGCAAGAATTGTGGGAATATTCGGACAAACTACACTTGTGACGTCAATTAGAATACATGCTATATTCATGCGCGTGGATTAAATTATTTAACATTCGTCTATACTGCTGATTCTTTGTTCTTTTAATGTGCATGTAGAAACATACATTACGCCCTATTACGTCACAAATCCTTCCTTGTCACGATTCCTCGTTGTCACGAATCGTGACCCGGGGCAAATTTTTTTAGGGGCCTCTATTTCAAAATTTTTCCGGAAAAAAAATTTTTCGGACAACAACAACCTCCCCTACCCCGTCGACAACTTTTTAGGTAAAAAATTTTCCGGACAAGTACGTTGTAATTGATTTCCAGCGACTTTACCTCAATTTTTCATACCAAATTTCGGTACTTGGCCCAAAAAACCCCAAATAATATCTTGCCCTTTGCGCGGAAATATTTCACCCAACAAAAACTTTCTAGGGGCCCCCAGAACCTGGGGGCCCGGGGCAATCCCCCCCTTCCCCCCTCTCGAGCGAATAGCCTTAATTCACGAGAACAAGGCTCCCAGCCCGGGAACGTTTTCATGTTGTAATTATCGATGGTGTATCATGATGTAAACCACGTTTTTTCCTCTCCAGGTAGTGTAATCAGATGTATGCGGCGTTTAGAAGAACTTCTCAGACAGATGTGTCAGGCCGCTAAAGCCATTGGAAATACTGAACTTGAAAATAAATTTGCCGAAGGTGAGTTCTTTACTTTGTAAGCTTTGCATTTTCAAATTATGTTGTGAAACAGTAAATTTAGAACCTTTCACGACCAAATTCCACTGGTTAAATTTCCTCCTATCAGTATAGAATACTAAAGTACATCCAAGAACTGTATGCATGGTTAACCAGAGTAGTGGTGGCACATGCCTGTCATTTGTTCTGTTTAGTTTTGTTGTGCAAGTATACTGTACTGTATTAGCATTCTCATAAGCTAAAACTGAATCCCATCCACGTAGATATTCAAAACATTGTTTTTTACATATTTTTTAAATCTGTTGATAGGCATCACAAAGATCAAGAGAGATATAGTTTTCGCTGCCAGTTTATATTTGTAAAGTGAGAAAACATATCTCAGGTGGTTTGAGTGAAATCCAGGATTTGTTCTGGGTACGTGCATGTCCTGGTATAAAGAGCTGACAGGTTATGTATTTATGAAGTGGTGGAACACGGATGAATGAAGTGCCAAGCTAGAGTTGCCTGCGAAGGCTGGCAGGAGACGTTGATTACCTTCATGCTTGTTACATTACTTGCATTAAATGAGAACAGACAAGATGTTGAGAAAAACCCGGACTGCAACACTGTCTACAATCTTAGACACAACTCGTGCGGACACCATCATATAAATAGAGGCGGGCCATCAACTTCAAGCCTGTTTTCCTCTAGCGATTTTTTTCGCGCGAATATTCTTTTGTCTAAAACTAATTAGTTCCAAATGGTTCCAGCGGAAAGTTCAAGGACAAAAGCAAATAGTCGCTTCGCGCGAAATATTTCGCTATAGTGGAAAACCAGCTTTACACATATTTTCAAGCTACGAAGCCCCCGTGTAGTGTTGCTTGATGTTCGTAAACTCAAATACAAATTTCGTGCCCATCAATATTGTATAACAATGTTTTATATAGTTTTGATGTTTTTTAATGTGACTGTCCGAATGGTTTTGTCTAAGATTGTGTCTGCTTCCAATATGGACGTCGTATACAATGACTGTGGCCGGACACATTGTGAGATTATGCACTCGTGACCATGAATCGTGACTTAAATCCAAATTTCCTACGTACGTTGTCACATCCATGAGCGTTCGCGGGCGTACACTAGATTATGACTGTAAATACTGTAAACAAGTCTTTAAAATATATATTGAAGTTATTTCATGATTTCTATAAATGTAGCGCTTTGGTTTTTCATTTTATAATCCAGCGGATTATTGGGTTTTCATATGACGTCACAAAAGTGACGGGGGTCAACTCTAAAACAAAACACAGTTATCAGAGTGAGACGATTGTTTGTTTTATGTATTATAGCCTTGTGTTTGGTGGCAAATAGTACATCATAAACATCAATACATTTGAGGTTGACCCCCCGTCAGATTCACTCCATAATGCTGTAGTGAAAACCAAGAATACGGCTAATCGCTGTAATTGACAGCTGTAGGACTTAGGTAGCGGTTTTAATTAAGGGGTTGTGGTTAGGGAGGCAAGGCCCGTGCCTCAACCCCAGTCCTTAAAACTGCCTGCTATACGCGGGCTAGATTTGGGACACTTGGAGTGCTTTAGTTTAGTTTTTCTGTCTAATAGTTCAGTAATTTTAGCTCATTTTAAGGCCAAGATTGGAAAAAAATAGTAAAAAGCTAAAAATTGTTAGATGCAATCATTTAACTATCCTGAACAATATACTAAAAGTCCCCATGTATCCTCTTGGAGCTTTTTCCATTATGACAAGTTTTTTGTTCGATTTCCCTATTACTCCCATATTGTTAAAAAACATGAAATTTCAAGTTCACTCATAACAAAAATGACTCGCATCACTAGAAAGCTCATAAAAACTACATATAAGACATTTTGCAAGCGGTTTTCGAGTTATTGATGTTCCAATTGTGAAAAATAGGCCAAAATCTGGCAAAAATCCTGGGTACTAGTCTGACAACACGTTTCCAACAGCTCATAACTCGAGAATAACTTGCAAAATCAAGGTAGCCGTTTAAATGTCTTGTATGTAGTTTTTTGTAAGTTTTCTAATGATGTAACTTATTTTTATCGTATAAATGAATCTGAAATTTCACTTTTTTAACAATATAGGAGTTCAATAGGGAAATCGAACAAAAAACTTGTCATAATGGAGAAAGCTCCAAGAGGATACATGAGGACTTTTAGTATGTTATCAAGGACAATTAAGGTTTCTGAAGAGAGTGCATACGCCAATTTTTGGCTTTTTACTAATTTTTTCTGACTTATTTTCTATTTTGATTGTACTATAAGGGCTGCTTCCAACTTTTCCCATACGTTTTATTCAAAAGTTTCGTATGAAATAATTCAATGAAACTTTCAGTTCTGTGAATGTTTTGAAGTGTATTTGTTGAGACTAAATTTAGAAAGATTTAAATTTTTCCATGTGTGTACGCTTAATAACTGGAAAGAGCAGCCTTTAGCTTCTTTAAACTTTCTCAAATAGCAGGTGTGTGAATACAAATCTTTGGTCGTGTAGTCCTGGAAGGTATATTCTGTATGCAAGAATATACACTATCTTACACTATGTGCAAGATTTAGAAACTTTATATATTTATCCAGATGAAGGAAGTTAATAATTATTAAATGTAGGATTCATCAATACAAATCCTCTTTTGACTATTGAAGAAAGCTTTAGACAAGAATATTTTCTCATCAACTATCGTCAAAAAAGTAAACAAAACAGTACAAAATATAAAAATATATTAGCTTTGTGCCTTTCGTATCAGTAGAAACCAACGGCGGTGCGAGCTCTTGGTTAATTGACGGTGTAGATTTCACTTCGCCTTCATCTTTTCCAGTCGATTCATAGTATTGACTAGACATACTCTTTAAATTTTAATAAACCTACGACAAGCAAATACATCTGAATAATATATATTTTAATACTTAAAATATTTTCACTGAATTTGCGTCCTGATTGGATGGTGCCCAAGCATGCGCTACGTCTCACGTTATCGCGCATGCGTTCATTTCAAAGGTTCGCGAAAGAACTACCACACCAGGCGAAAGAACTACCACACCAGGAAACTGTAACGTACTTATATAGTTATATATGGAACTTAATTACTTGTGTGTGGTAGTTATTACCGATCATAAGATCTTGCGAAAAGGGTGCCGGCGGCCCCCGGACCATTATGCCTGACACCCTCCCCTGTCGTTCGTTCGATACTAGACTTTCCAAAGTCCTTTCCAGACCCTTCTATGGCGCGCTTCGTTTCCTCTGTGGAAAGGACTTTTGTCACTTGCAGCGCGCCAAATATCACCGGTGGAAAAATCCACCGGTGACGTCATTGTTTACATTGCCGATTTGCCGAAGCGGTTTACATTTATTATTATTGTATTACAATATTATATTCTCAGGCTTTCTTGTTGAACAAATGTGTACTATTGAAGCAAATAGAGTAAACAATGTAATTACAATTTTGTAGAACACAAAAACCATGTGAAAATTCACAAACAAGCATTACATTGAGTAGGCTATATTGTCTATATTTAAAAGTACAGGGTGTCGAAATAAACTTTATTAATACTGTCACGTACCGAAGATGCATCTAATGATTCTAAAATTTCCTCACTAGTTTCGGGTTTAGTTTGGGTTTCTAGATCTCCATTACTGATTATTAATACAAAATCATTTGTTGAGAAAACAACGCGTATTTTTACCGGATTTTGAACTCTGGCGACGTCTTCTCGTTGATCACAATCGCCGCCTCTCTGCTTCGCGGTTACAGCTAGTTGTCTGATTCTTTTCAATCAGATTAACTTCTACTACTAATATTAAATCGCTCGCAAACTGAATCAACTTTCTATAATAAGTCTAATAAATTACTATTCTTGTCGGCACAAGTACGGCAC